TCAGCAGCTGTAGCAAGTCATGATTTAATCCCTGTAGAGGTCGATGGCAAGTGACAATGGGAAATGCCAATTCGTAGCTGACACCCTCCAAGTTACTGTTTTAGAAAACTTCTTATTTTGAGATGATTACAGATTGACACTGCAATTATACGAAATAATATAGACAGATTCCAAGTATCCTTCATCTACTTTCCCCCAATGGTAACATTTTGCATAACTGTAGTATATTAGAACCAAGGGTTACTTTTTATGTTTAATAATTTAAATTTTTATAATTTAAAATTAATTTTATTTTAAATTTGTTATTTTTGAACAATTGGGTACTACTGATAGTTGCAAAGATGGCATAATCTAAACCTTTAATACTTAGAAATTTATGATTGTAGGAAATTAAAACTTCAGTTTGTATACTTTTTTTTTGGCAAAGAAGTATGATCAATAAAAGATCTTCAAGCATAAGAACGTATTATATTAGAATAAATGTCTGTGGAGGAAGTGGGATAGAATTCATAAGTTTGAGGAAAAACAGGAATGATGGAAAATTTCCAAAAGTTAAAGAACTTGTTCTTGTATTTTTAAAATGGGTGATGGTGTTGCAGCAAAAAATAGAAATGAGACTTTTCTTTTCTGATAAACAAGGAAAATAAGGAAACAATGAACAGGCTGGGGAAACAGCCCATAAAGAGTTAAGCAATCTTGGTTATTCTTTTGCTGTTACTGCTAACAAACACTTGTAGCTAGACTTGTCCTTCACAAAGCTAATTACTCTCTGACTCCGTATGAATTACCCTTTGCACCTGGCATTTCTTCTCCCCCTACACTCCCTTGTAGCACTCTTCATTTCAGAAAGAAGGTTATGGGCCGATAACTTCAGGGACACCAGACGAGGTTGCTTCGCTGCCTGATGCCAGCTCTGGCCATGAATTTTCAGAAGAAAAGCAATGCAAGACCTTATTTACTTTGAGTGTTATCACCCACCCCAGACCACGAGCCCTGGGCTACAAAAACCTTTCCCTATTCCCCAGGGAGGGGGGCACAGTTCTTGAGGTGCTAGCGCACTGTGTTCCCTCTTTGCGTGGCAAATAATAAAGCTACTCTTTCTCATTCCTCCAAAACTCTGTCTCCGTATTTCTTTTTGGCATCGGTGCACAGAGAGCCAAGATTTTTGGCATCAATGGTTGAAACAAAATTGATACATCATCTGTTTATATTCTATTAGAAATAAAAAGAGTGATGTAAAGTTTTATTTTAAAATACCAATATTTACAACACATTGGAAATTATATACTTTACAAGTATACTATGATGAAAAGTGTTTGATGTCAAGTTAAAACTGAGTGAAGAGGTACACCACACTCATAGCAGCATTATTGACAGTAGCTAGAACGTGGAAACAACCCAGATGTCCATTGATGGGTGGCTGGATAAGCAAAATGTGGCATATACATACAATAGAATATTATGCAACCTTAAAAAGGAAGGAAATGTTGACATATACTGTAGTCATGGACGAACTTTGAGGACGTTATGCTAAGTGAAATAAGGCCGTCACAAAAAGACAAATGCTGTATGCTTCACTTACAGGGGGTACATAGAGTAGTCAAAATCGGAGACAGAAAGTAGAATGGTGGTTGTCAGGGGCTGGGGGGGAGGGGGAATGGGGAGTTGTTTAACGGGTATAGAGTTTCAGTTTTGCAAAATGAAAAGTTCTGAAGATGGATGGTGGTGATAGTTGGACAACAATGTGACTGTACTTCATACCACTGAACTGTGCACTTAAAAATGGTTAGGATGGTAAATATTATGTGTATTTTACCACAATAAAAATTTTTTAAATGAGTGGAGCACATAGTCTTTCACATTTAGGGGGTGATACAAGAGAAGTAAGACTTGATGACAAATGCCACTGTTTACTTCTCTAGTCCTCTGTTGATGGACCTTTTGGCTGTTTCCAGTTTTTGCCATTATAAACAACGCTACGGTGAACATCCTTGTACATATACTTCCTAGAGTCCATGTACAAGATTTTCTCTAGGGTATCAACCTGGAAGAGGAATGACTTAAGGAGGACACTGACCTTGAGAGGAATGATGTCTTCAAGCATCTTCTTCTCTTACCCCCATAGCTACTGGCAAAGTTCTCTCCAAAGTGATGATACCCACTTACACTCACACCAGCTATGGATGAATTTCCATTTACCCACATGCTTTCTAATTCTTGGTTTTGCCAGTGTTTTCAGTTCGGCCAATCTGATAGGTGTGAGCTGGTATCTTATTGTTGTTTAAACCTGCATCTCCCTAAACAAGGATGGGATTGAGCGTTTTGTCAGATGTTGGCCATTCAGCCTCTTCCGAAAAGCACTTGGTTGCTTTCTTTGCCTTCTTTGAGTGTCAACAATGTTAGTAGCTTCCACACACCAGGTGCTGTCCTTATCTTCCAGAACTCACATCACTTAAAATACAAATTTCATTGGTGCTTAAAGAACATGCTTTCTTGCCAGTCAGTTGTTCACTACTAATTTCAACAACCAAATGAGGCTTCAGCTCTTTTCTCTGTTCAGACTGTCCTGAGTCTTGCTGTATTCACAGTTCAGGCTCTGCCAAAAAACTCTACGAGGCAAAATGAACTATCAAAAGGCCAAGGCTCCTTTCTTTCCCCTCGCCTTCTCCCTCCTCCCCTCCTTCTCCTCTTTCACCTCCTCCTCCTTCTTTTTTGGTGAGACAATTTGTCGTCTTGAAACCGTTTACCCAAAACAGAAACTTTAAAAAGTCAGTGGAAATTTTTCTTTTTGCACAAGAGGGTTAATTTTTTTTTTTTTTTGGCCGCTGGTGGAGCATCCATGAAGTAACCTGAACTCGACCGTAAAGCTTTTCACGCTCACATTTCACAAACTATGACAAGCCCCTCATGCAACTTTCCGAGGGGACCTGAGTTGTTGTCTCTGGTTACCTGTGGGGTGAGCTGTGGAAGCCGGAGGACGCAGCAATGGAAACATTGCAAGAGGGGAGAACGACTGTTTCCACGGCTAACCACCAGAGCCAGAGGGCGGGCCCCGTAGGACGGTGACCCATTTATCAGAGTCTTCTCTGGGAAGAGGAGGAGGGAGGTGTGGATCCTGGGAGAGGAAGGAGGGCAGAAAAGGCGGAGCTAGGGAAGGAAAGAATAGGTGAGGGAGGCCAAAGGCTTTTCCCTCCCTTCTCGACTCGTCTTCCGGTTCCTCCCACCCACCGCCTTTGGCGGGGGCGGAATGATGGGCTTTAGAGGATTTCTCAGGGTGGTTTGCACCTTCTCAGTTTAGCAGGAAGGAGAGAAATGAGCTGCTTCTTTCACACCCCAGACATTGCGGTAAACTGCCCTTCAGGAATGTTCCTGGCTGTGCTCAGAGGCAGAGGCATGAAATAGGATCTCCACGCAGAGACCCCCAAGCGATCGCGCAATGGAGAGGGAGCTACAGGGGGCTGGGGTGCGGGGCTGTGTGTGTGTGTGTGTGTGTGTGTGTGTGGGCGTGCGGTTGCCGTGGGTGTCTCTTGCCGTCCGGGGCACCGGCTAAGCAAATGGGGACACGTGGTACCACGATGAGGGTGCCAGGATGTGGTGGGTGCCGCCGCGGACAGGCGCACGAGGAGCCCAGCCTCCCGCCGCCCTCAGCCGGTGGGGTGGGGACTGGGGAGGGCGATCAAAGCGACTAGAGCCAGCTGGGCCCGGATTCAGTCTTCCTGGAGGCTAAGAAGCAGGCGTGATGGGAGTGGGGGGGTCGGGTGGCGAGCCAGGCTGAAGGCAGGCGGTGCTGCAGAGGTACGGTGGCCCGAGGCGGGGCTGTGGAGGCCGAGTTGATGCCGGAGAGGAGCTGGGGGCCGGTTGACACTCCTTCCCTTCTCGGTTACTCGTTCTGCACAATTCTCTCGGCCAGACTTGGGCAGAGGTCTCAAATATCCACCCCGATTGATCCAAGGCCTGGATTCTCCTCCACCGTTTCTCACAGAAATTTTTTTCTGGGGACAGCCAGCCCTGATCGGAGGGGGCGGCACATTTCCCACTCTTACCCCAGGAAAATAGGGGCCCCAAACGAGCGGCAGGTGCTGGCCTTCTGCAGCTGCACGCATAGGGCACAGAGCTCAGCCCGCAGCACTGGGATAGAAACTGGGGTGCCATAGCGGGTGGGCAGGACCTTGCAGGTGGCGGGGCGGGGCGGGGGGAGGCAGGTGAAGAAGCGCCTGCGGGCCCCTGGCTGGGGGCGGGGGGAGGAGAAAGGAGAGTTCTAGAATCCGGACCTGGAAGTGAGCTCAGAGAAGATCCGATCCAACACATTTATTTTATAGAGGAAGAAAATCGGAGGCCCAGGGACGGTGAGCCATTTACTAGAGTAACTCAGGAGGCCAGAACGGAGCCGGGACCAAGTACCACGGGACGCTCCTTCCCGCTCCCGAGCGCTGCCTGCCTTGAATAAAATCTAATGCCCCACTCAGTCCAGCAGGGGGCGATGTTGCTCTAGTTTGGGCCTGGTTGGGCGCCGGGCGGGGCGGGAGGAATTGTGAATTCAGTCCGCGCGTGCCCCCAAGCAAAACTGCAGCCGCTTTACGCTCCCTCCCAGCCCGCCGGTGCCCAGCCCTCTTCAACGACCCCACCTAGCTGTTCCCCGGCTGTGGCTTTGTCCTCGCTCTTCTCAGGATCCCCACCCCGACTCCCAAGAGTCCTATTAGAGGCCCCTAGAGTTCTACTTTTCTTCGGCGACTGAGGGTACACTGGGGGATGGAGTGGCATGGGGTGGAGGGCAGGAATTGCATTTGACTGGGGATCAAAAGACTGGTTGAAGACGGAATTTCTGGCCCAAGATAGGGCGGGGAGATATCTCGGGTAGACTCCTAACCTCCCCCAGTCCCTCAGTATCTACCAATGAATGCTAAACCATCTGTGCGATGCATCGTCCATAGAAATAAAATGTCAACGCTTTAATGGTGGAGAGGAGTCCCCAATTTGAGAACCTCTCTTCTTTGTGCCAGGCTGTGAGTTCTCCCAACTCTCCTTCCCTCACTTGTCAAAAATGAAAAGGGACCGGACTGGAGATCCTGGGCCGTCGCAAGTTCCGGGAGCCCCGCCCGGGGCTGACCCAGCAGCCGTCTACTGGTCCGTGGAGCGAACGGCGGGACCCAGGCGCGGAGGGGAGGCGGACAGGTTCCTCCAGCTTGCTCATCCAGACCAGCAGCCCCGAGGGAGGGCAGGAGGGGTGCACCAGGCAGGAAGCGGACGGGGTCGGGGGGCTTGGGATGCCCTGGGGTCAGGTGGAGCGGCCGGCCCCTGGTTTTCTCTCGCGCAGGGCGCGGTGGTCACTGTGCAGGGTAAGGTCCAGGCGGCGGGTCGGGTCTCGCCCGCGGGTCTGGGAGAAGGGAAAGCCTCGGAGCACTAGGTGAGAGGTTACAGGGGCCGGGACCTCTCTGAGATTCCTTGGCCTATTCACCGATTTTGTTCTGCTCTTGGTTTTAGTTTATGTGGAAGGCTCAGCTCCGCACTGGCCCAGGAGGTGCTAGGAACCAGAGTCCGTTGGTCAAAAATTTTGAAAAATAGAAAAGAAAAAATAATCGCTTATAGTGCCAGTATGGAACTATAATCTCTCAACATTTTGGTGTATTTATTTTGTTTTTGTTTGTTTGTTTTTTTTTTTGGGGGGGTAAGCCTTTTTTGTTCGAATCCTATACTTATATATTAAAATTTTTTTTCCGTCATTGTCATCATATCTCCTCTTCAGGTTTCCAGGCTGCTTTTTACAATTCTTGTACACAGTTTTTTCTAACGTATTCTTCATGAGTCTCACCTGATATCTGCGTAATATTCTGTTTATATTTTGACCAATTAGTCCCCAGTTAGTTGGACATTTAGGTTGCGTACTTTTTCATTATGATACAGTGGTTTCTAAATAGTATGTAATTTCAATTTTTGTGTTTTAATTATCCTAAGCGTTCTTTAAAAATGTTACAATTTTTAAAGTGGACAGATTTTTTTCCCCATTTGTTTTTAATTTTATTGTCCTGTGGTCTGAGAATGTGGCTTGTATTTACGCTTTTGGAATTTATTGAGCTTTTGATAGATGGTCAATTTTTAAAATAACTTTAGGCATAGTTTTGAATGAATGAATAAAAAATTCTATATATTAGATCAAGCTTAGTAAATATATATTATCCATATTTGCTATGTTCTTTATTTTAGTCTACTTGATGGGTTAATTTTTGAAAGAACTGTAATTTTTCAAAATATGTTGGTGGATTTGCCATTTCCTTTTTATATTTCTAACAGATTCTGCTTTACATATTTATTTATTTAAAAAAATTTTGTTCAAGTTTTATTGAGATATGATTGATGTGTAACATTGTATAAGTTTAAGGTGCACAACATGATGGTTTGATATATGTATACATTTCAAAATTATCACAATAAAGTTAACTAACACATTTATCCCTTCATATAGTTACATTTTTTTCTGTGTGTGTGAGTTGAGACCGTTTAAGATCTACAGTCTTAGCCACTCTCAAAAATGCAATATAGTATTGTTAGCTATAGTCACCATGCTGTACATTACTTCCCCAGAACTTACTCATCTTACAGCTGGAAATTTGTACCCTTTGATGGTTTTATCTCTATATTTTAAAGTAACATTATAAGGTGTAAAAACCACGTGGCTGTTTAGATGATAAACAAATACACTTATTGGCATATATATCTTTTTATGCATTTTTGAATTATTTTCTTGACCTGGATTTTCAGAAGAAAATGGCCTTGAAAGCCAAATTGGCCTCTTAAGGATTTGACAAATGCACATTGTTGGTTTCCACATGGTCAGCAAAAGGTATAAAAAGAACACAAACAAACAAGACGGTAAGAAATGGGGATACTTTAAAAACTTTGATTTTTATTGAGGTTGACTTTTTTTTTTTTCTGTAGGTCTAATCAGTTGAATTTTCTTTTTTTGTGTGTGGATAGTCCGTTCTCATCTTTCTGTGCTTCTGTTTTCTAACTTTTAATTTGTGGAGATTAATCTCTTCCAGCTCTTATATTCTAGGAATTATGTTTTTATTTATTCTACCACAAAACACCTTATTGAAAAAGAAAAAATCCATCCCTTCAAACCAGACACCTTGAATTCACCCTGACTGGCTCTCTCCCTGCTACCTGAGCAGATCTTTCAATGTAGCACACAAAGCAGGTAGGGGTCCTGTGGGACCTAAAGATTATACAGTTGGGGGGAGGGGCTTCTTTAGCTCTTTTTTTTTTTTTTTGCGGTACGCGGGCCTCTCACTGTTGTGGCCTCTCCCGTTGCCGAGCACAGGCTCCGGACGCGCAGGCTCAGCGGCCATGGCTCACGGGCCCAGACGCTCTGCGGCATGTGGGATCCTCCCGGACCGGGGCACGAACCCGTGTCCCCTGCATCGGCAGGCGGACTCTCAACCACTGCACCATCAGGGAAGCCCCCATCCCACAAATTTTGATAAGTTGTGTTTTCATTTTCATTTGGTTCAAAATATTCTTAAATTTCTACTGAGACTTATTCTTTGGCCCATGTGTTATTTAGAAGTATGTTGTTTAATCTCCAAATATTTGGGGATTGTCCAGATATCTTTCTGTTATCTGATTGCTAGTTTAATTTCATTGTGTTCTGAGAACATACTTTGTATGGTTTTTATTTTTTAAATATTGTTAAGATGTGAGTTATGGCCCAGAATCTGGTCTATTTTGGTGAATGTCCCATGTGAGCTTGGGAAGGATGTATATTTTGCTGTAGTTTGACGGAGTATTCTGTAAATGTCAATTAAATCAAGTTATTCGATAGTGCTGTTCAGGTCAATTAACTCATTACTATTTTCTGCCTGCTGGCTCTATCAATTACTTATAGAAGGGCACTGAAATATCCAACTATAATAGTGGATTTGTCTATTTCTCCTCGTAGCCTCAGTTTTTGTTTCATATATTTTGATGCTCTCTTGTTAGGCGCATCCACTTTAAGGATTGTTAAGTCTTGGAGAATTGATCCCTTTAACACTACGTAATGCCCCTTTTCAACCCTGGTAATTTTCTTTGTTCTGAAGTCTGTTCTGTCTGATTATTCCAGCTTTCTTTTGATTAGTGTTAGCATGATACAGCTTTCTCCATCCCTTTACGACTTACCTGAGTCTTTACATTTAAAGTAGGTTTCTTATAGACAACATAGGGTTGGGTCCTGGATTTTTATACTCTGACAATCTCTGGGGAGTAGTGGAGGAAGGAATGAGGGTGAAGTAAGTATGAACATTTATTTCTTGAAATAAAAAACTGAAGCAAACTGGAAAAATGTTAAAGTTTCTAAATCTGACAAGGGTCCCTGGGCATTTATGATATGGCTTTCAGTGCTTTTATTTGACATATTATGCAATTTATTTGTTTTTTAATTTTTTTACATCTTTATTGGAGTATAATTGCTTTACAATGGTGTGTTAGTTTCTGCTTTATAACAAAGTGAATCAGTTATACATATACATATGTTCCCATATCTCTTCCCTCTTGCGTCTCCCTCCCTCCCACCCTCCCTGTCCCACTCCTCTAGGCGGTCACAGAGCACCGGGCTGATCTCCCTGTGCTCTGCGGCTGCTTCCCACTAGCTATCTATTTTACATTTGGTAGTGTATATATGTCCATGCCACTCTCTCACTTTGTCACAGCTTACCCTTCCCCCTCCCCATGTTCTCAAGTCCATTCTCTAGTAGGTCTGTGTCTTTATTCCCGTCTTACTCCTAGGTTCTTCATGACATTTTTTTCTTAGATTCCATATATATGTGTTAGCATACGGTATTTGTTTTTCTCTTTCTGACTTATACCCTGAGCAAACCATAATTCAAAAAGAGTCATGTACCAATATGTTCATTGCAGCTCTATTTACAATAGCCAGGACATGGAAGCAACCTAAGTGTCCATCAACAGATGAATGGATAAAGAAGATGTGGCACATATATACAATGGAATATTACTCAGCCATAGAAAGAAACGAAATTGAGTTATTTGTAGTGAGGTGGATGGACCTAGAGTCTGTCATACAGAGTGAAGTAAGTCAGAAAGAGAAAGACAAATGCCATATGCTAACACATATATATGGAACCTAAGACATATTATGCAATTTAAAGCAAAAATTCAAAAACTCTGTCCTCTTTTGAAGTTTTTTATAGAATAATTACATATAACAAGTACCTGCTGTGTCCCAGGCACAGTCTGAAGTACTGGGATTCGCAAGGTTAATGAAACATCTGTTTCCTGGCCTTAAGTCGGGGTGGGATTTAGGCCGTTCAAAAATAGCCAGGGAAATCATGTATCTGAGAAGGGGTTAATATCCAAAATATATAAACAACTCATACAACTCAATAGCAAAAAATCGAACAATCCTATTAAAAAATAGGCAGAGGAACTGAACAGACACTTTTCCAAAGAAGACATACAAATGGCCAATTGGTACCTGAAAAGGTGCTCAGCATTACTATTCATCAGGGAAATGCACATCTAAACCACGATGAGATACCACCTCACACCTGTCAGAATGGCTATTACCTAAAAGACAGGAGATAACAAATGTTGTGGAGGGTGTCTGGAGAAAAAGGAACCCTTGTGCACTGTTGGTGGGAATGTAAAGAATTAAAAATAGAATTAAAAATAGAGCTACCATATGATATGGCAATTCCACTCCTGAGTATTGCTCCAAAGGAATTGAAATCACTGTCTTGAAGAGAGATCGGCATCCCCATGTTCACTGCAGCATTATCGACAATAGTCGAGATATGGAAACAAGTTAAAAGTCCATAGATGAATGGATGGATAAAGAAAATGTGGTGTATATAAACAATGGAATATTGTTCAGCCACAGAGAACAAGGAAATCCTTGAGGGCATTAACTGAGTGCAATGAGTCAGACGGACAAAGATAAATGCTGTATGATCTCCCTTATATGTGGAATCTAAAAAAACTGAACACAGAGAAACAGAAAAGATGGGGGGGGCGGGATTGGGTGATGGGGATCAAAAGGTATAAACGTCCAGTTATAAGATAAATGAGTTCCGGGTGTGTGATGTACAGCATGGTGACTGTAGTTGGCAACACTGCATTGTATATTTGAAAGTTGTTAAGAAAGTAGGTCTTAAAAGTCCTTATAATGCGAAAAAAAATTGTAACTATGTGAAATGAGGGACATTGACTAGTCTTAGTGTGGTAGACATTTCACAATATGTATATATCAAATCATTATATTGTACACTGTAAACTAATAAGGTATTTTGTCAATTATCTCTCAATAAAACTGGGGGAAAAATAACCAGGATCACTTGCCCAGGGTCACACAGCAGCCCAAGTCTGCCAGACGCCAGCCTCTGTCCTAACCACTGAGACATTCTGTCTGCCCCAAGAGCTCGGACCACCCCTCCTCCAGCCTCACCTCTTTACCTGAACCACGCTGTGTAGCTGGAGTTAGTTGATTTGAAAAGACCAACTTTATTCTCAAATAATCCAATAACTCAGACTTTTATCAGGTTACACAGGCTTCTCGCAAGTTTTTCTCCAAACTCACCTGCTTGCTGCCCCTGAAAGTCTTATGGAGTGGCTGGGCTATTTCTGGGATAAGTGGGGAGTGGGTAAGGCGTTGGAGCTAGGTGTTGCATCGTACTGCTCCAATTCATTAAATGCTGTGTGATTTCGATCATGCTGGGGAACCTCTCTGAGCCTCAGTCTCCTCACTAATATCTACTTTAAATAAGGCTGTTAGGAAAGTAAAGGAGAAAAGGAACGCACAGATGCCAGCATCGTGCTGGCGCCTGGGAGGCACTCAGCAGATGGGAGCTTTATTACTCTTCTTCATCTTGTGGTGAGGAAGCAGCTGGGGTCTAGGCCTTGCGCACTTGAACTGAGCCACACTGGGGGTCCTTCACGCCCCGGCCCACGCTGAGATGCAGGGTGAGTTGGGGTCACTGCCATAGGGCTTGGTAAACGAAAGCTGGAGGATTGTTTTTAAGCCAGTGTGGACCCCCAAGTGGAACATCTTCCTTCCCAGGGCAAACCCCTTCAGAACCCTTGGAAAATCCCAGTTTCACTTTTAGCAAGACCCTGCCGCAGCGGGGGAAAGCCCCCACTGTAACCAACCTTCTCCAAAGGCAGTGTCCCCTTGTGGGGGGATGCACTCGTTCTATGCCCCTGGCTTCCTGCACCCTGCTCTTCACACTGCTAATGCCTTAGCTCCACCCCATCATGCCTTCTTTATCTTTTTGCCTTTTCCAGCTCTGCTTCTCTCTCATTTTGGACAGCTACTGCACTACTTTCAGGTTCTGGATTGTCTATCCGCCTGGATGAGGAGTCTCTGCCCAAAGACCTCGGTGAAGCCTCTCTTGCTGTCTCCTCAAGCAACTCAGTGTAACCCTGTACTTAGGTTACCGCTTCCAAATAATCCTGCCCTAATTTGCCTCCAGGCAGAGTGGAGTAAACCAGGTACCCACCCTAGGGCTTTGAGTTCCTGCAGTGTTTCTAGCATAAGCTCTATGCTTTAGGTCTATAAACACAGCAGGAAGGTCTGTGTACTACAAGGAAAGCTGTTCCACTTGGGAAACACAGAGTTTTAAAATGTTGCATTTTTCTAAGTCACGATCCGTGAAAGAAGTAACTGATAAAATGGACTTGTTAAAGTTAAAAACTTCAGCTCTGCTAAGACAATGTCAAGAGAGTGATAAGACAAGCCACAGACCGGAAGAACTATTTGCAAAAGATACATCTGATAAAGGACTGTTATCCAAATTATACAAAGTACTTTTAAAACTCAACAATAAGAAAACAAACAACCTGATTAAAATAAGGGCCACGAGCTTGACAGACACCTCATCAAAGAATATAAGAAAATGGCAATTTGGCATAAGAAAAGATGCTCCACATCATACGTTATTAGGGAAACGCGAATTAAAACAACGAGTTACCACCACACACCTATTAGAATGACCAAA